GGGGGGCGGGGGGGCCGGCCCCCCCCCCCCCCTCCCCTGGTGGGCTCCCTGCCTGCAGCTCCCCCAGCCCAGGGGCAGCCGGGATGGGGAGCCCAGAGCGGGCTGGGGGTGGGCGCCTGGACCTGTGGGGTTCCCGACCCCCCCCCGTGCCTGCCCAGGGCCAGCAGACGCCCCCTTCCCCAGGACCCCCGTGCTTCTTGCCCCTGCAGAGCTGCAGCGCCTGGCCGCAGGGATCCTGGGGATGGAGGAGGCTCTTTTTGTGCCTACGGCCACGATGGCGAACCTCATCGCCGGTGAGTGCCCGGGGCTGCACCCAGCCCTCCTTCCCCGCACCCCGGGGTGGCCAGGTCACAAACCGAGGGGCAGGTTTATGCCCCCATCCCATGGAGGGTGTGGAGGGTAAGAACAGCCCTGCTTCTCCCCGGGGTCCCAAGGAGAGCCCCACTTCTGCTCAGGAAGCTGCCCGGACGGCTGCAGGGCTGTGGGCAGCAGGTCCTTTCTGACCTGGGTGCATCTCCTTGCCCCTTCCTCGGCCCCCTCCACCTCAAATCTGCAGCAGCATGACCCTGCTCGGACCCCGGAGCTGCTCCCTGCTTCATGCTGCTGCTGAGCAAACCCCCGTTGGGTCTGCTTGTCCCCGTCCTGCGCTTGGCCTCCACTCTGCTCCATTAACCTTTACCCGGTTTGCTTTCCTGCTCTCCTGTGAGCGGGGGTCCGCTGTGCGCTGTGTCGGAGCATGGGCCCCGCTCCAGCCCCTGCCATGTGCATGCACCAGGGAGGGGAGGCCGTGCCCCCCAGCTGCTCCCCCACCTCCAGCTGCTGCAGGCAGCCCCGGTCCCACAGCCCCAGCACCTCTGGGGACAGAGCCGGCGCCCCGTCCCCGCAGGAGGCCGTGCTGCTGGGGCACCGCTGTGCTGCGTGCCCAGCCTTCGCACGCCGGAGCCCCACAAGCCACCAGAGCGCAGGCAGCCCGCGGGCACCCCGGCTGAGCCTGCCTGTCCTCCGGCACGCGCTGCCCCCTCCCTCACGGCCCCTCTCCCTCCCAGTGATGTGCCACTGCCAGCGCAGGGGGGCTCAGCTGCTCCTGGGCCGGGACGCCCACCTGCACCTCTACGAGCACGGCGGGGCCGCGCAGGTGGGTGCTGCGGACGGACAGACCGACAGACAGGCTGCGGCCCGGGCTGGCGGGGCACGGCGGGCCCGGTGACACTGGCGCAGGCAGGGGCAGGAGGGGGGCTTGCTGCTGCCCTCCTCTGGCTGCCGGGGCCGGGCTGGGCGAAGGTTGCCTTGCTGGGCTGAGGCAGCAGCATCACCCGGATCGCCCCGAGCCACAGCCTGGGGCACAAGTGGGGGCTGCGCACACCCGGCACAGGGCAGGAGGGGATGGAGGGGCAGAGGGCGGGGACCCCCATGCACCACCACCATCCCCCTATGTGCCATCACTGTCCCCCATCAGCTTTGCTCCCTGCCTTGCCCCGGGCACAGGTTGCTGGCATCCACTCCCAGGCACTGCCGGATCTGCCAGATGGCACCTTCGACCTGGACCAGCTGGAGCTGACCATCCGCGAGGCCCACGGCAGCCGGTACCACCCGCGCCCCGAGCTCATCTGCCTGGAGAACACGCACAGCTCGGCGGGGGGCCGGGCGCTGCCCCTCACCTACCTCCAGCAGGTAGGAGCCGGCAGCTGGCAGCAGCCCTGCCTGGGTGCAGGCAGCTGGATGCAGCAGGACGGCACTGCAGGGGTGCCAGGGCCTTGCCAAGGAGCTCGGAGCGCAGCTCACATTGGTGCTGGCCGCCCCACCAGGCTCAGTGCCTCCAGGGGTCCTGCCCGGCCCAGCTCCTCTTCTGCCTCCCCCCAGGTCCGGGGGCTCGCTGACCGCTATGGGCTGCGGGTGCACGTGGATGGAGCACGGCTGATGAATGCAGCGGTGGCCCAGGACGTGGAGCCGGCTCAGATCACCCAGCACTGCGACTCTGTGTCCCTCTGCTTCTCCAAGGTGTGCTCGTGTGGGGAGGGTGTCCCCGGGGCCAGATGAGACCAGCACAAGCTGGGGCCTCGCCCTTGTTTGGGGGTATGGGGCTGAGCGCCCAGCTTGCAGGCTAGGGCATCCCTGGGTGCATCCCTGGGAGGGGTACGGGCAGCCCCCCGGGGCAGCTCGGGTCACCCCTCTGTGGCTCCGCAGGGCCTGGGCGCCCCGGCTGGCGCGGTGCTGGCTGGACGCAGGGAATTTGTCACCGAGGCCTGGCGCGTGCGGAAGCTGCTGGGCGGGGGGGTGCGGCAGGCACGGCGTGGGAGCGGGCAGGCGTGCTGGCAGCCGCTGCCCGCCTCGGGCTGGAGCACGCGAAGGCGACGCTGCGCAGAGACCACGACAATGCCCGACGCTTTGCTGAAGGTACCTTGGGGCCCCTTGGCACGCCGGGAGATACAGGTGCCTCCAGCCTGACATCGCTGCGGCACAGCCAGGTCCTGCCCTGCCTGACAGCTTGGTGTGGGCCCAGCCTTGTCCCCTGCCGCCGGCTGGGCTCACTGCACTCAACACTGCCAGGGGTAACAGCGGTGCAGGCACCTTTCCTGGGCAGCCGTGCTGGATCTCCAAGCAGGCAAGGATGCCGCTGGGGTCCCCGCCTGGCTTGGAGTGCCGGGATGATGCCATGCCTGTCCGCATGGTGCCCACAGTGACCCTGGTGCTGCACAGCAGGGAGGGCAAAGGGCCCCTTCTTCAGCTGGGACCTGGGGCCAGGCTTGGGCAGCGCTGCAGCCTCCTCTCCTGGGAAGCCGGGTACCGGGCTTGCAGCCTACCACCCCTGCCTCCCCCCAGGCATCCAGGAGCTGAACTCGCCCCTCTGCTCTGTCAACCTCGCGGCGGTGGAGACAAACATCGTGATGGTGAGCATCAGGGGGAGCTGGCCGTCCCCCGCAGAGCTCTGCGAGCACCTGCAGGCAGTGAGCGAGGAGGAGTTGGCCGAGACCGGCCAGGCTGTCAGCGTCCTGCTATTCCCCTGGTCGGCATGCACCGTGCGTGCAGTCTGGCACCGCGATGTCTCAGCCCACGACACTGAGCTCGCAAAGAACAAGCTGGAGTTTGTGGCCAGGAAGTGCCAGGAGAAGCTGGCCCTGGGACTGCGCCCGACTCCTCCGAGCATGGGGGGAGCCTGAGCATCCTCCCAGCCCCAGCCCGGGGGCAGCCGCCTTCCCCTGGCTGCTGCAGGCATGCTTGGGCGGCTGTTCCAGCCCTGTCCTGGCAGCCAGCAGCAAAGGGGCTGGGACCAGCCACAGCGTGCTCCAGGCATGTTCTCAATCAGCTGCGGCACAACATCCACCCCTGCGTGCAGCCCTGCAAACCAGCATGAGCCCAGCCCCGGGGAGACCCCAGCCCACTGCCCCAGTGGGAGCACCAGCCCTCCCAGGAGGGATCGCCTTCACAGACATGCCCCGAGGGACAGAGGGGAGCCCACATCTCACACCGTCACCCAGACCCCTCCAAGGCAGTGTTCCCGTCTCGCTAGTCACCCAGCAAACATCCTCAGAGCACCCTCTAGTCCTCTACAGAAGCTCTGCTGCTGTAACTCAGGTCCTGCAGACAGCACCCAAAAGCAGAGCCAGACACCCCCCACCCCGAAGGCCACACGCTGCGTCTGGCCCATGTGCACTGCACGTGTGCAAGGATACTGCAGCAGGGAGACAGATCCCGAGGGATGGTCAGGGCACAAAATAAATGTGTTCTGGCAGCACTGTGGCTGCGCAGGATGTTTTCTCCCAAGCATGTAGCAGGGACATCGTCGCAGCCCAGAGGTCCCCATTGAGGGACAAGTGCTCCTGAGGATGTGGAAGCATCTCACAAGTTGGTATCTGGCCAGGACTGGCCCAGCCTGGCCCAGACAGCTCCCCAGTGTGCTGCTCCATCACCCCCATCCCCAAAGGCTTGTGTTACCCCAGTCCCATAGCTTCCCAGCAGCTGCAGGCAGGCTCTCTGGGCTTCCCTGCCTGCCCAGCCTGTCGCTGTCTGGGTCAGACTTTGCCTGTGCAGAGAGCTGGGCCGGGCTCAGTGGTGTGCTTCCCACTGCCAGCATGGAAGAGCCCAGCCGCAGGACGGGAGCTCCGCGCTGGGAGAGGAAATTCTGCAGCAGCCACATCTAGTGTGTACTCGCTGGCTCAGTGCAGCCCCAGCTCCCCAGGAAGCAGAGTTACACCCAGGCAGCAGTTATTCCTATTTTATTTTGTATTGGCAATAAGCAGTTTAAAGGAAATCAACGGAACAAACTTCATCACCCGGTTGTCCAGGCGGAGCCCTGCAGGCCTGCCAGCCCCACGCACTCCAGACAGGCAGAAACACTGCTGCAAAGGAATGCCAGCCCAGGCGAGAATCAGCGATAACTGGTGCTCCCCTGCTCTGAGCCCCCCTGTCTGGCTGCAGGCTGGAAGGACCGGAGGGGGCACAGAGGGTGTCCAGAAGCAGCAGCCACCCTGTGCTGCAGGAGGAGACCCAGCGGGCTGGAGCGAGGAGGGCAGCAGGGCAGGGTGCACGCAGGCTGCCTGTCACCACCACGCAGGGCTGTGGTTCCCATCTCAGTTTGCTCCTCACATGCCATCAAGTTCTTGAAATCATGTTCAGAATTACCTGGGATGAGGAAGCGAGCCCTGTGAGCAGTGCCTGACCATGCTCCTCCGCTCCTGCAGATGACAGCCAGCCCCGAAGCCGCAGCCCTGCACTCGCCTCGGTACACAGGGACAGCTCATCTCGGCACAGCCCTCCTGGGCTGCTGATCTTAGAGGGACAGGAGGACAGGAGCTCTTTCCC